AAGTTAACCTAGAGTAAGCACCATGACTACTCATCTTATTATCTCCTTTTCTTAGTGGAGTTCTTATATATCATAAGGCCTCAAAAGTTAACTGTGTGGAAAAATATAATGCAGTTGTCTGTATAGGACTTCATGCTTTAAAATGCATAACATTTCTTACTTTACGTGGGTTTTACAGCCACTGGCTTTTAAACTATGAATGTGAGCAATACTGCTATTCTCTTGAGCTGAAGTGAGGACTTTTGCCTCTAAAATCTAAGAGTCTTTTCTCAATTAACTGAAAAATACCAATGAACAGTCTATTTTCTTTTTCCATGTTTGAACTATCTTCCCACACCATCATTTTTTTTTCTTAAAAGCTTTGATTTCTATAATAAGGCTATACCTGGTTAAGCAAAGAATTCTGTTCTATTTTAATTTGCGTATTATTCCATGAAAATTACCTTGACTTCCAGGTTCAGCTTTTTGAGCAGATAACACTGTTTACAACAATAGCGGGTACCATTCCTCCTTTTTATTGGGGAAGGGGGACTTCCTGCGTGAAAATTACATACTGTATATCCACCTCCCATGAAATCTGTGGTGTTTGGCTCTTACCAGGTTTTAAATGAGGAGACTGTGTCACTGAGCAGCTCATTGTCAAAGAGCCACCAAAGATGAAGCTCAGCCTATTTGACCCCCAAACCCGCGGTCCTCTCCACTGAACAACACGTGCTAGTTCTTAGTGCTGGTTGCTAATCTTACTGATAGGTTATAAGCTCCTTCATTGCAGGGGTTAAGTAATTTCCTCCTCCTCCCCCAGGAGGTCCCATAAAACCAGATTAGTGGTTTTCTTCTTAATTTAGTTAGTCTTGCTTGTGAGGTGTGCCATTTTCTCTATTACACATGCCCAAGGACTGGCCCAAATCATCGTCAGCACTTCAAATTACACGCCTCTGTTCTATATTTTCTTTGTCTTTAAGTCAGGAACTTAGTCTGGTCCTGACAACCACCTTCAAATGGGGCTTGGGCCGTTTAAAAAATAAATTTCAAACAGCCCAAGCAAGGGCTGTTTAAAACTCCCTGCGATAGCAACTCGTATTTAAAGATGCTCATTGTTAATTCTAATATGAAATGATTTGTATGTGTTATTAACACGTTAAGACAGCAAACGAAAAGATGAGAAGGCAACTCAATAGGAGACATTGATGTGTGGAATGCAGAAAAAGTAGAGAAGAAAAAAACTTACTCCTAATGAGTTGCATGTTTAAGAAAGACCCAACCATCTCACACTTGTTTATGTCCCGAATGGTCGGGACCCTGACATTGAGCTCGACTGTTTTCTTCGGGGAGGAGATACACTATGATACTACTGTGAACTGATGGAATACAGAGGCCCAACTACATGTTGTTATAAAATTGTCTCTAATGATAACACTTTGTTATTAAAACAGCCAGTATTGACAAGTAGTGAGGAGTCTTAGTAGGGTCCTTAAAATTGAAGAAAAGCTATCTGGCATGGCTTCTTTAAGAAAAGTATACTTCTCACCCAAGAAAAATAACAGGTCTATTTTCATGGGCACACACACACACACACACACACACACACACACACACTCACACACACGCACACAGATTATGTACATATTCATATACTAGAGGCCCAGTGAACAAAATTCGTGCATGGGTAGGGTCCCTAGGCTGGCCGGCGATCAGGGCCAATCTGTGGGGTGACCAGCAGGGCGATCAGGGGTGCCCTGCTGGCACCCCCCTTGGCTGGCCTGGCGCCGCCCACTCGCTGGTTTGCCCTCGCCCTCCAGTGCTGGTTGCCTCCCTCTGTGGGGTGATTGGTGGGGTGATTGGGGGGGACAAGGAAGGCCCGCTGGCACCTCCTTGGCTGCCTGGGCCCGCAGACTGGGTCAGCTCCTGCATGAGAATCTGCCCCTTAGTGTCCAGTGCATGTCATAGTGACCCGGTCATTCCGCCCTTTGGCGGATTTGCATATTAGGCTTTTATTATATAGGACTAGAGGCCCGGTGCATGAAATTCGTGCACTGGGGATGGGTGGGGGGTCCCTTTAGCCCAGCATGTGCCCTCTTGCAGTCCGGGACCCCTCCCTTGTTACTGCCCAGCTGCTTGCTGCTTCCTACCACTTGGCTTGCTGCTCCTTAGTGCTGCCCCAAAGGCCTCGGGTCTGCTGGGTGCCAGGCCTGCCGATTTGTGTCTCTGATACCCCCAGCAGCCCCAGCACCAAGGTGGCGGGCCTTGGAGCTGCTGGGTACAGGCCCCCCGTTGCGTGTTTGTGTCTTCTATCAGGCCCCCAGCAGCCCCAGCAGCCCCAGCACCACCTAAATAACTTAAGGGAAACTTTATTTAGTCTTCTTTTAAAAGCAATCTAGTTTAAAAATGAGTTGCGGTTAAGACAGAACAAAGAACATGGTACCTAAGAATGAGATAGACTGACAGAGGAGAGGCTGTGCACTGGTCAGGGGCTTACATGCCAACTGTTCTCTACCTGGGAAATGATGTAAAATCGGTTTCTTTAGTTTTCTGCTTAATTGTCTTCTGCAGCACTGAGGTCAGAGGAGCTGCCTTCCAGCCCATAGGCTGCTTCTCAGAGTTGAAAATTTCGCCCTTGGCCTCTGCCTAGGACAGGACCTCTGAACCCCCAGGTGCATAAACACACAGGGCTTGCATCAGGATCCACTGATCCCGGGCTGGGAGGCCTCTCGGCTCCGCTGATTCAGGCGGCCAGGAGGCCTCTCGGCTCCGTTGATCCAGGCTGCCGGGAGGCCTCTCTGCTCCGCTGATATCGGGGCCGGGAGGCCTCTCGGCTCCACTGATATCGGGGCCTGGAGGCCTCTCGGCTCCGCTGATATCGGGGTCGGGAGGCCTCGCGGCTCGGCTGATCCCCGGGCAGTGAGGCCTCTCTGCTCTGCGGCTTCAGGGCTGTTTGGCTTCGCTCTACCGCTTGGAGCCTGAGTATGCAGATTAACCGCCATCTTTTAGCTTCTATAATTGAAACATTGTATCTTTTGGAGCTGTTGCTTCAGGAGCTCAGAGCCTAGCAGCTGCAGGCGGGATCCTTGGTTTTCTCTATCGCTGGGGCAACCAAGCATCCTGTTCTCAGCTGCCTGGCTGCCAGCCGCCATCTTGGCTGACAGTTAATTTGCATATACTCACTGATTAGCCAATGAAAAGGGTAGCGGTTGTACGCCAATTACCATGTTTCTCTTTTATTAGTGTAGATATGTATATGACTCAGCTGAAATCACAACATAACTAAAATTGTCATTCCCTCACATTTTTGTTTCTTTGCCTCTAAAACAATTTCCTTTTTGACCTCGGTATATCATGGTGGTTTTACCTGCTTTTTGTCTGTTTGTCATATTTTATTTATTTGTTTTTCTCCAATTTGACGTGCAGTGTACCGGTCTGTTTTAAATGCTTGAAAACAGGCATTTGCCTCATTTTCTTCTTCGTTTTAAAGATAGCGGGTTACTTCTGAGGGTATCACATTTAGACTGACTTGCTCACTTCAAGTTCATGGTAATCCAGGGCTTCACCTGAGAAGCAGTCAGTCTTCAGTTTGCCTGAAGGAGGGAACATATGGTGGTACAGGACTGGGACTCTGAGGTCTTCAGAGTTGATGGTACTTTGTATTACTTCTACTTTTCTTGTTTTTAACAGTTTCTTTCGAGAACACAGGTGCTATTGCTATGATACTTGCTTGAGAAAAATTTTAGATGGAGATAGAGAAGGTGAGGAATAATGTAGTCAACTGTCTATTAATTAGAAATAAATAATCGAATGTGAACTTGGACTTGATAATACCTTTTGATATGGTGTTTCATCCTAAGTAGCATGATAATTTCTTACTGTAAAATAAGTTATTTTATTAAAAAGCAACATTTTTTCTAAACAAGGATGAAAGTATTGGCAAGTCTAAGTTTCATACACAGAATAAGAATGTTGGAAAACATCGAAAAACCCGATTTATAAATAGTTCCAAATAGATTTACTTATTATTACTGTGCCATAAAAAATGAAGTATGGAAAATTTTTATTTTAAACTGCAATAGCTTGAAAGAGTTGGGGAATTAGTTTCAGAATATTGATTAACAGGGAATTGCATTTCTACTGTTTTCCACTTTTTTTCCCCAAAAGTACACAAATAAAAAGTTAATTTTTATATGAGAGCAATTTTAAACCACAAATGGATTTTTTTTTTTGAGAGTTTCCTCTATCGTGGCCAATTTTGTATGAAACAAATTATTTTAGGCCTAATTGCAAGCAGAATAGTTAGGCCGCTAGCTCTGCTAAGGTTGAATTTCATTTGAACTTTCTAATAGTATGATCTCTCTTTTCAGAATTTAATAACTGACTCAAATATTTAATAGTGGGAGCTTTCATTAAATTAAAAAGAAATCAGGATATATTTTTAGAAGATGTAACTTGTTTTGCTTATCAGTTTCATCTACTTTAGGAGAAAGGAAGAGAATGGAACCGATCTCTTTGTGTACTTAAATAGACATCAATACTGTAACCCCAGAAAATAATTTATTTCTATATATGTCATCATTCAGAAGATTTGGGAAGCCCAGAATGGCAGCAAGTACTATACTTCTAGCTCTACTCAATAGCAAATTGCACTGACTGTGTGAACCCTCTACTGGGCTACTGGATAATCATTCTTTTCAATACCCAAATAGGTTTTCTAGGTTGGTGTTAGATTGCACACAGTCAATGTTGCATTGCCTAACAGCTCTGGCTTAAGTACAATGACTTGTTTTGAAATGCAAGTGGGGAAAGATGAGGGTTGAAAGATTGCATTTCCCTGTGTCATTCTGTGAATAAATGACAAAAGATCATTAAATGGATTAATTTACAAGCATTCTTGAGAAACAGAATGTTTTTACATAAAAGCATGTTGTAAACCTTTTTAATTAAATTGCATTGTACCGTGCACTCTCTTCCCCCCAGGGTTCTCTTGACCTCTCACCTCTTATTTTGTCCTCCAGGCACTCCACTGCTGGTGAGGAGAAGCAGTGACCCAGCACCAGGCCCACCTGCTGATGCCCAGCCAACTGCTTCACACCCCAGTGGCCAGAGTCTGAAACCTGCTATTCCAGTAGGTATCCTGCCTTTTGCATTTCTAAGGAAAGATCAAAGTGCCTTACCCATAGATAGATTTGCAGTCTTAAGTCAGTTGACAATTAGAGATCTTTTGATAAGATATACGGTATTAGTTATAATAGCTAGTATGATCTATTAAGAGTATATAGTTATAAAGATAGTATTTGTTTATAAAGCACTAATTATGTGCCCAGTAGTGTTTTAAGTGCATTACATTAAGTGCTATGAGCCAGGGTATTAAAGGAGGACCACGTTTTTGTCTTCATTTTACTGATGCTGAAGTTGGAGGCAGAGGAGGGTTTAGTGAGTTGTCTGAGGTCACAGCTAGCAAGTGGCAGAGCCAAGCCTTTAACCCAGGTGGCTTGGCTCCAGAGTCCATGCTCTTGCACAGAGCACTATTCTGTTGACTCCCATCCTCCTCCCGCTTCATAAAGCCCACGGATGCAGCTGGTATGGTCAGCGTGTCAGTGAAATGCTTCTGAAATCGTAACGTGGTAAGTGGTGATACAGTTTCAAGATAACGAATATTATGGGTATATGGTGCCAGTACTGGGTTTCTAGAACTCAACAGTGAAATTAAAGAAAAATAAAATGCCATGCCCAAAGTGCTTATAACCAGATATACCTGTATGCTCTACCTATAAAATGATAGGTTAAATGAAGACTAGTTTCCTAAAGAAATAAAGTCCTTCTTCCACTTGGGACTGTGGGATCTTTCTGCTAAATCCCGAGCTGCTTTGAAGAGTTGTGGTTGTGGTTTGTCCTTTGCAATGGCCTGAAAGTTAGATTCTGGTTAACGGCAACATATCATTATAATAAGTGGTCTTCAGTATGTCACCATATTAAAAAGACTCCGAGAAACGAGGCTCTTCCCCATTTTAAGTCTCACTGTCTATAACACTCTAAGAAAAAGGCAATGTTTGCAGGGATATAAGGGTGCTGAGTGAGCTAAATGGATTCTCCCAGTTTTGTATAAAATTTTCTTATTAAGAACCTGTGTGATTGTGTTTGAGGGAGGTGTCAGTATATTGAATCATTGGCAATTAATAATAGGTTAGTGGCAATATTTTAGCATATTTTTTTCTGTGAACAAGGAAGCAAATATCCTGGAAGTATTTTAGATGTAATATTTTTTACTCTCCATCCTTTTAAGGAAATATATTTAATGGAAATTACATTAATAAAAATTAGATGTGCGCATTCTACTGCAGAGATTAGTGTAAACGGAACCAGTATGTGGTATGATGTGTGTCCGTGTGTGTTTGTATGTGTACATTTAACACACATGAACTGGATTGGAGGGGAAAAGAACTATATAAATGAGATAATGATTACATCAAAGAGGAAAAACTACAATTTAGTGCTTATTTTTGCAGTGTCAGAATACTTTAAAATGAGAGTGTACCTGACTGTGTTACCATCATTTACATGCGGAATGTCACCAATCTGTTCCATGTTTCTACTAGTATGTATCCTTACCAAAATATGATACCAGTGAGTTCTAAGTGGAGTAGTTGGAGTGAGAGATATATTGTTACTAACGTCCTGATTCCAGAAGAAATGCTAACACCCCAAATGCTCTTACCTAACAATATGCAGGTTATCAAACATGGGCCGAGGCCACATGTACCAAGAGTTAGAGGAACACACCTATTTCCTCCTTTGCTCACAGGGCTCCCTGCGGATGATGAATTGTAAACTTGAGACCCAAAAAATGGTCCTTGCCTGCCCACCGAACAGTGGCACAGTCCAGGCTTTTCTAGCTTCAGTTGTGAAATACTCTCCATGCAAAGTTTAAGCATTAACGGTCTAATGTGCAGGCATCGTCCCTTTCTAATCTCTTTATTTCTAGTTGGAAGTACATGGGGGGTGCTCAGTGTGCATGTGTTGTATTTAGGAATGCAAGACACATCTTAATCTGGGAAAAGTCTCAGAAGTTCTTAGCAATTACCCGGCTTTTCTAATTCAACCATTCTTTCTGCTCTCCAAGGGAATGCACCGGGTAAAGGTTTACCTGCTCCAGCGTCTGGTTCACAGACAGTTTAACTGCCCTAGTGTGTAGGGTAGGCGAAGTCAGTATGTGAAGACATCTAGGTGCATCTGTTTTTACCTAGAAGAAAAATATGTGTGTGCCTGTGTGTATTTTTTAAAATATATTTTTATTGATTTCAGAGAGGAAGGGAGAGGGATTGAGAGAGAGAAACATCAGTGATGAGAGAGAATCACTGATTGGTTGCCTTCTGCACGCCCCACGCTAGGGATGGAGCCAGAAACCCAGGCATGTGCCCTGACCTGGAGTTGAACCGTGACTTCCTCGTTCATAGGTCAATACTCAACCACTGAGCCATGCCAGCAGGGCTGCATGTGTGTATTATAACTCTATTTTATTCCTGCTTATCCAAACTTATGGATTACTTAAAACTGTGTCGTCCAAAAGCATAGCCACTGGTTCGTGGGGCTATTTAGCACCAAACATGTGCATTAAGTGTAATATGCATTCTGGATTTCAAAGACTGCAATATGAAAACTCAGGTGAAATATCTCATTAAAATGTTCATATCGACTACATGTTGAAATGATACTATGCTTGGATATATTGGATTGAATAAAATATGTTACTAAAATTATTTTCACCTACCTTTACGTTTTTAAAAAAAACATTTCTACTAGAAATTTTAAAATTACATGTGTGGATCACATCCCATTTATATTGGACAGAGCAGATTGGATATTGCATTAATGAAATGGTTGGAGACCCTTGGGAGGAGTTATTTGAGTTACACATCATCTCTGGTGGTAGCAGTGTGATTAGGTTTGCCTGGGGCAGTCCTAGTCCATGCCTGTTGTTCTGGCATAATTATTAACAGTGTCCACACTAACTCTCCGAGGTGCTCATGTGTGGATGATAAATTATGTGGCGCCCTCCACTGTAGCCCTATAGTCACTTTCATTGTTTGCTCAGCGATAAAAGGAGTGGTGTTTCAAGGAAGCCCTGGGAACAAAACCACAGCTCTCCCCTCGGAGTCTGCTGCAGAGAGAGCTCTTTGTAGCAAGGCCCTGAGCCCAGGGAGTACGGTGTGGAGCCTGCAGATTCTTTCCCGCCTCTCAGATTCCGTAATTCTACTGGTTGCTTCCCCCGCAACTTCAGCGACACCACTCTTGATTCCTGTGATTTGATAAGTGGTGATGAATAGGGGGAGTGTGTGATAATGTACTCATGCAGCAACTAATATGAAAACTAATTGCTTAAAAAGCTCTCTTCAATTGCATTGCATCTCAATATCCAAAGGAAAAAAACAATCAAAATTTCCATCTCTTAAACAGAATGTTCACATGTAAGCAATTCACAGATGGCAGAGCCCCAAGTGGGTTATGTTCAATCATCCCCAAGAAATGAAACTTACTCATAACCCAGAGCATGAGAAGCTGTAAGAATGAGTAGTTGACACATTTGATTATGTTGAATTATTGCCTTTAAAGCCACAGTTGATGACTGTTATTTTTAGCTGCACTTCATTATTCTTACTATAGAGGGAAGAGTTTTTGTTGATGCCCAAAGATGTGTTTTTGAAAAGTTGGAAAAGTTGCACTTGTTTTCTAGCTGGTTAAATTATTACAAATTGCTTATTTAAGATGTGTATCCTCAGGCAAGTTGGAATTTTAAAAAGGATTTAAATTCGAAATATCACATTCTCTGCAAGCTTCAAAGTCTTTGAATAATGAAAAGCCACCAAACTTCATTGTTTCTTAGAGTACAGGCCGGTACACAACATGAACTTTTGTTTCCTTTCTTCCTCTTTTCATAGACCTACTTTTCATATCCAGTTAATCAGAGTAGCATAATTATTAATGTGCAATTAGTAATGACTGTGTTTCTTTCAAGGCAATAGAAAATCTAATTCCACTGACTGTTTTTGAATTAAAGAGAGAGAATCCAGGGGCCAAGATATTGCAGTGAGAATCCGCTTCTGGGACGCCTTACCTTCTTGCCTTGATTGCAACCTGGTGTTCTTGGCTGAAGGGCATGCCATAAAACCAGGTTCTTGAAATTGATGTTCCTGAATTTGCGGATGGAAGAGAACTCTAAAACAGATGTGATTTTTTTTTAATATCCGGTTAACTACTATGGTTGTTTTGTGTTTTAATGACTGTTTATAGTTTCACATTTAACCCCTAAAGCAAAAACATCCTGCAGGGGAGTAAATTAAAAAGTGGATTCCTGAACACTATAAGGCTGTGCCTGTTCTCAGAGAGTAAACGCCTTTGTTTGTTCTAAAACCGTTACTTGTATCACATCACCAAAATCAGTTAGGAAAATCCTGGTGTATCTTTTAAAAGTTCATATCTATAATAAATACATTTTATTTTTAAATGGCAGCCTTTGAGGCTGCTAAACTAGAATTCGCGAATGGGTTCGTCAGAAGTTTTATACCATGGAGGGGAAGAAGGACATGGGGGGGGAGTATATTTAACGAAGGAGACTCTATCACTGCTATCAAATTTTAAAAGGAAAACAAGAGCTCAAAAACTTATTTAGGGGTTGATTTGGGATGAAATCATACGGGAAAGACACCATTTCTCAAAGTATGAGGAATGTTAGAGATTAAGAAGTAAGGTAAAAATTGCCACCTCTCCCAAATACCTATTAAGTAATTAGGTAATTTCATCTTTTCTATCCAACGCATAGTATGTAAATTCAAGATGTTAAGATGAATAGATGTTTGTGAATTGCTGCAATGAGAAGCCAAAAATAACTCTTCAGTCAGTAGCAACATCATGCCTAGCAACAGTGAGACGGGATAGAGGGCACAGCCTGGTGGTGGGAAGGCAGTGGGAGGCATCTTTCCAGTGGCCCTACTTGTGCACCGGGGGTGAGAAGTGAATGGACAATGTTGTTTTCTTTGGAATTTTGGGTATTTTATCAGCAAAGAGAGTGCAAGGTGCTTCTAGTGGGAGAAAATACTTCCAGGGAATAGAAGCATTATTTTTGTGTCG